CTAGTATTCAGTTCACTTTCTCCTTTTCCCCTTTTATTCAGCACAGGACCCCAAGCCCATGAAATGATGTCATCCCTCAAAGGCGCACCAAGATGTATGTCTCCTAGGAAATTTTAAACTCCTTTGAATTGACAGTGAGGCACCCAAACCTGTTCCTTTTAAATATTAATGTTTTATTCTTATCTTGAGATGGCTATGAGACTTTGATGACCAGAAGTAAAGCAATACAATGGCACTGAGCAAACATTCCCATTCCAGAAGAGAGGAATAGGGACAATAGAAAGGAAAGGTTAGATGAAAGCAAGACTGAAACTCAGCAGGGAAAACACTAAACCCCGAGTTTATGGAGTTGACGTCACCATATGTGTCCAACAGCTCTGATGCTTTTGGCTATATGTAGCTCTATCTTGAGTCAACTTTACTCCATGTCTAAAGCTTTCCTTGGCTGATGTTTCTGGCATCTCCAATATATTTGAGGTAACCATTGCAAGTTGGCATCACCTTCATAACTTCATAAAATGGCTTCTTAGGGCCTTATTGCAGGAAATCTGACCCTGCCACACATTACCTGGTTTTCATTGGCTTTCTGAAACCTTGATGAAAGACTATGTACACCTCTCTAGAGTGTTTTCTGCATTTTACGGTAGAGTAGCAGTTCTCAACCTGTAGGTTCTGACCCCTTTAGGGGTCACATATCAGATATCCTGCATATCTGATTTATAACCATAGCAAAATTACAGTTATGAAGTAGCATTAAAAATAATTTTATAGTTGGGGTCACCACAACATGAGGAACTGTATTAAAGGGTTGCAACATTAGGAAGGTTGGGAACCACTGGTCTAGAAACTGCTTTTTTGGCATTATCCTTGTTATAAATGTTTTTCAACCTAATTTTCAGTTTTTTTTAAAGATTTGTTTATTTATTATGTACACCGTATTCAGCCTCCATGTGTGCCTGAGGCCAGATCTCATTACAGATGGTTGTGAGCCACCATGTGGTTGCTGGGATTTGAACTCAGGACCTCTGGAAGAGCTGTCAGTGCTCTTAACCTCTGAGCCATCTCTCCAGCTCCCCTAATTTTCAGTTTTATAGCCTGGAGTCTTTCCTGGGTAGGGTCTTTTCCTCGAGGCAATATATACCATATAGAGTTTAAGATTTTAATTGCACAAATTTCATTACACTTCTAGCTCCTTTTTATTTATTTGTTATGTGTACAGTAGTCTGTCTGCTTGTATGCCTGCAGGCCAGAAGAGGGCACCAGACCTCATTGCAGATGGTTGTGAGCCACCATGTGGTTGCCAGGAATTGAACTCAGGACCTTTGGAAGAGCAGGCAATACTCTTAACTGCTAAGCCATCTCTCCAGCCCCTATCCTTAACTTTTTTTGGAGGCAGAATCTCATATAGCCCATTCTGGCCTCAAGCTAGCTATGTAGCCAAGGCTGACTCTGAACTGCTGAGTCTCTTGACTCTGTCTCCCAAGCGTTAGGATTATAAACATGAGCCACTATAGCCAGTTAAAACTTAAACCTGGCTGATGCTCTTTTCTTCACCAAACTGTACATTTTCCACGTCTTGTATGTTTCGTGCTTTCTCAATAGATTAATGCAATAAGTAACGACCATAGTAAGTAATAAGTATACTACAGCCTGGAGGTTATGCTGACTTCAGATTTCCTCCAAGCAACTTAGTCCTTAACTTTTGAATTCAGCCTCACTCAAATGATCAGGTGGGCAGAAATGAGCCAGATTATTTTGCCAGAATGTAAAATGGCCTCTAGTCCTTGTACCTAGCTGAGATCTCCTTAACCAGACAGTATTGTTCACATTTTTGTCTATATTCTTTTATTCCACATTCCCACCAAAATATACTGTTAAGCTCTACTTCAGGACTCTAGGTCTTCTCTAGACCACAGAACCAAACCCTTCCAAATTCTTCCTGTGAACCACCTCCATATGCCTACAGATTTGTGCGATCAGGTATTCACAGCAGTGGCTCCACTTCTGGGTACCAACTTTATTACTTTTCTCTTGTTGCTGTAACAGAATACCTGACAAGAGGTTTATCTTGGAGATACAGTTCATCACAGTGGGCAAGGCATGGCAGTGGGGAATGTGGGACTAGTTATGTTGTGTCAGGGAAGTGAAGAATACTGATGTTCAACTTGCTTTTTCCTTTTGCCCTTTTTATTCAGCCCGAGACCCCAACCTGTGTGATCATGGTGGTGATGTAAACCCATGTGGGAACTTCCTGAAGGAGAGCATTATCCAGTCCTTTTGCAAAGAACACTATCTCTAGATAGAGAGAGACTCTGCTTCAGGTTTGGCCTTGAACTTGTAAAGTTCAGGGTTTGTGACTTGATCTTTTCAGGTCAGGACATCAATACTGATTAAACCTACTGATTGTTAACTATTTTCCAGGACTCCAGTACTTCCTAAACATTTTCTTCCCAAAGTGGGAGAGGGATAGAAAGAGAGGTAGAAGTTAGATGTGGATAATGCTTCCTGCCACTTGGGTTGTGGCGAGGACAATTGAATGAGGTCACCTTTGTGTCTGGTACCTGGCATGGGGCAAAGCACTCAGTTAATATGAGTTCATCCTTCCTGTCTTCCCTGCTTAGCTGCCTAGTCTTGCTTGTATCTTTGCTCTACTGTACACATTGCCAGGCTCTGAGCATCTCTGGTGCTTAGTGGCAGAAATGACTTTCTCATCCAGTTATCAGGCATTTCTGGAGGTTTTGGGGTATACTTAACTCAAGTGCCAGCCTTAATGTCAGAGTAAGGTCTCTTTCCGCTTCATAAAAGCAAGGGAGTGTTCATCTGTTTTGTAGTGCCACTCATACTGTGTGTGGTCATTGTCTATTTCTCTGCCCCTCCCCTAGTTTATCAAGACAGAGACAAATCTGCTTCATTTTTCAGTCCTCTCACTGTCCAGTGTATGGTGACTCATATTTTGGGAAATGATTAACTAGAAGCCCCCTTTCTCCTCTCATCCTTTTTTCTATCTTCCTCCCATATCCGGGAGGATGCTGCTCTCCCTCTTAACTTTCCCCTTTATCAGGTGTGGGGTTAGAGTTAAAAGTTTCCTCTTCTGGAAACCCCTTGATGGACTAGGCTTTGTGGTTCTGGGAAATAGCTGACAATGTGAGCAAGGATGAACTTGGAGTAACTAGCTAGTGTACTAGTGCACAGACTCCAGGGTGGGAGGAGCACCTGGGCTACTGGAAGGTTGTGCACAAACTGGTGTGTTTGTGCTGCCCAAGGAAGCACATTAAAGGCTTATAGGTACGTTTGTCATCTCTACAAATGAAGCCACACCTTCCTGATGTGGTGAGACCTGAGGGTGGGGCTGGCTAGGTCTTCCCTTGTCTCTCTTCATTCTCTGTCAAGCCACCCACCTAAGACTTTCTGAGGGTATCTCCATTGTACATCATCTCTTTATGTTGGTCTGTTCCCTTTTATGTTTAGTGACTACCTCACCAGTATATGTTATTACAGAGCCTCTTTAGGTCCTGACTAAAGTCCTGAATTCTTGACAGATGTGTCAAGTACATCAAATGCTTCCCATTTTTATAACTGGTATGACAAGCTTAGGCAGCTTCCTACAACCAGGAAACAGTACAGTAATGAAGGTGACTGGATTGAAAACCAGGGCTTTTTTACAGATCGTGTTCCAGGACAGCCAGGACCATACAGAGAACCCTGTCTCCAACAACCAATAAACAACAGAAGAAAACCAGGTCTTTAAACCTCCAGATATTATGCCCACTCTGCCAGAGAGCTCTCCTGTTTTTTTATGGGATGGAGTATACCCATTGCCTGTAGTGGGATACAAAAATGGCCCTTTTAGCGGGGATCCTATAAGTTCCTCAGTAGGGTAATGCCCCCTAGGAATAAGCTTCACATTCTGTAGTACAGCCCTGTTGCTGGGTCAGGCTGTCTACTTTTGGCAACCAGCAGAGGGCAGGAGGAGCCTGAGAAAGATCTGCTTCTGCTTCATTTTGAAATGGAAATATCTAAAGCTGTCAAGGTCATTATTATTATTTTAATTTGGAAGTATGAGTTTGTATAGGTTCACTTAACCAAACCTTTGGGATCAAATGTGATTTGGAATTTAGAAACTATTCAGAATTTGGCAAAGTCTCCTGGTGTTTATACTTTGATTATATAATACTTCAGCAGAGACTAGAGCAGTACCTCAGGATCACATGCCTGAATGTTTCTTTGTGACAGTGTTTCAGTCTTCACCCTCAAGTAGGCCATCTGGTTGTATGTCAGTTCTCTTCAGGTTATGATGGGACATTAGATTAAGACTTCGGATTTTTTGTATTGTTTGAAGTCCCTTGATGTTCAAAGCATTTAGGGATTTGGAATTTTAGATGAAGAATTGTGTATCTTATTGGGAAAGGAGGTTAAGAAAAACCACCTATAGCATGAATACTGAGGATTGTATTTTATTGTCTACTTTTTTCCGTTTTGTATTATGCATATGTAGAGACTTGTATAAATGTACACGTAAGTGTATTTGGACACACTTGATATCATAGTTGGCTCACTTTCTGCCTTACACAATATATTTTAGAATTTCCCAGATGTTTATAGGCTCAAGATCTACATTCTAGCTAGTTGTTCTCTTTAGCTTCTTCCCTGGGTGAAACTTCTTGATAGAGAACCACATTCTTCTTCTAAGGACTTGGATCCAGGCCTCTGGCTGCCTGGTCCAGGTATTGCAATATCTAGAGAAGGGATCTGAAAGCAGATGAAGTTTCTATTTCCAGGGGATCTGGGACCTCTCTGGGATTAAGTCTTGTTCTTGTCCAGTGACTAAATCTCTTGCTTTTTGGTTACAGAGTAGTCAAGAAGGGCTGTGAATTTTCCAGTATCCTTTTTTGCCAATCATCAGGTCCTCTCTGAAATTGAGGACAGGACCCTGGGGAAGAGGTGAAGGCCTCCCTGGGTATGGATTTCCCCTGTTGCTGACCTCCCACTGTTTCCTCCAGCAGGAACACTGGTTTGAAAAGGCCTTACGGGACAAGAAAGGCTTCATCATCAAACAGATGAAGGAGGATGGTGCCTGTTTATTCCGGGCTGTAGGTGAGTCTCTGCCTTGGTCCTGCGAGCTGTGGGGCTTAAAGATACTTCTGAGCTGTGTCCCTGTTGTCAGCAGCCCCTGAGACAGGATTGCAGCAGAGTTAACTAGTTGGTATTTTAGGATATTCAGGCATGAACCTAATATTAGCATTTGGCCTCTTGTCTTCGATTGTGTTGAGTGAATAATAACAGCAATAGTAGTGATAAAGTGATACTACTTCGAGACTAACACTACTGGAAATCCATCCATCCATCTATCCATGTTTTTGTTTGTTTTTGAGACAGGGTTTCTCTGTGTGCAGTCTTGGCTGCCCTATAAATCATACTAGCCTTGAACCTAGAGAGCCGCCTACCTCTGCCTCCCAAGTGCTGGAATTAAAGGGTTGAGCAATCACCACCTGGCATGGAAACCCCAGTCCCCCACTTTTTTGTTTGTTTTTCAGGACAGGGTTTCTCAGTAGCTTTGGAGCCTGCCATGGAACTCAACTCTGTAGACCAAGTTGGCCTCAAACTCATAGAGAGCCACCTGTCTCTGCCTTCCGAATGCTGGGATTAAAGGCGTGTGCCACCACCGCCCAGCCTGGAAACCCTTTTATTATCCCACAGTGTAGTAGCTGAATGTGGGGACTGATGCTGCTTCTATTTGTCAGATGAGAAAAGTGTCTCAGAAGTGGGGAGTGGCTTGTGTAGGGTTACACAAAAAGTGTGTGGTAGTCAGGATTTTATATCTGGGTTAACCATGTCACGTCACTTTGGTATGTAAGAGTTCGTACCCAGAGTTTTCTGTGGTGTGGTGTGGTGTGTTGGGGAAGGTCTCTATTCTGTGCTTGTGCGTGTGCCTCTTTTGTGAAACTGGGTGTGATGAAACACGTTTTTAATCCCAGCCTGCAGGAGGCAGAGGCAGGTGGACCTCAATGAGTTCAAGGTCAGCCTGGTCTACATTAGCACGTTCCATGCCAGCCAAGTATATTTTATCTTGTTGGAAAAAAAAATCTAGATTTTTATAGGTTTCTATATTACGGGTTTTTTTTTTCTTTTAGCTTGCACAAAAGTAGAGAAAATAGTGAGCCCTTTCAGACTCTTCATCTAGCTTCAAAAAGTCATTAATACAGCTGGGTAGGGTTTGCACAAACCTTTAATCTGGGAGGCAGACACGGGCAGATCTCTGTGAGTTCGAGGCCAGCCTGTCTATAGAGCAAGTTCCAGGACAGCGAGGACTGTTACACAGAGAAACCCCATCTCAAAAAAAGAAACTACACACACACACAATCATTAACACATAGATAGCCTTACTTTATAACTACCCTGCCCACTCTTTCTCACTTCCCTGAAGCAGTGTTTTTACAGTATAACTTGACACAGGATCATTTCATTCATAAATATTTCTTATGGTTTTTTGGTTTTGTTTTGTTTTGGTTTTTCGAGACAGGGTTTCTCTGTAGCTTTGGAGCCTGTCCTGGAACTCATTCTGTAGCCCAGTCTGTCCTCGAACTCACAGAGATCTGCCTACCTCTGCCTCCTGAGTGCTGGGATTCAAGACGTGAGCCACTACCACCTGGCTTCTGTATGTTTCTTTAACAGATGCATCTATATTGGTTTCTGCCTTTTCAATATAAGCAAAGTACAGCTGTCAAAACTAGCAAAATTAATTTTTTTCCTTTTTTGAGACAGTCTCACTCTCTAGTCCAAGCTAACCCGAAACTTGGAATAATCCTGTTTCAGCCTTCTAAAAGCTGAGATTATACGTGTGAGACACTATGTGCAGCTAAGAATTAGTAAATTTTTTCAAGATTTGTTATGTATACAGTGTTCTGCCTGCATGTACACCTGCATGACAGAAGAGGGCACCAAATCCCATTATAGATGTTTGTAAGTTACCTTGTGGTTACTAGAAATTGAACTCAGGACCTCTGGAAGAGCAGTCACTGCTCTTAACCTCTGAGCCATCTCTCCAGCCACCAAGAATTAGTAATTTTTTGAGACTGGGTCTCTGTTAGTCCTGGCTGTTTGGTCTATGTAGACCAGGTTGGACCCAAACTTTGAGATCCACCTGCTTCTGCCTCCCTAGTGCTGGGATCATAGACGTGTACTACTGTGCCAGGCTAGAATTAATAATTTCTAAATATTGTCTACTAAGCCTGAGCTAGATCTTTGAGTCCCTTGTGGCTATGAATCTTTGTCCAAACGAGTAAATGTGAAATCCCATACCAACTTGAAGGGAGACAAGAGTGTGGCCTGTTCTTCCCGCACCAGTGGTTCTGTCTTCAGGGAAAATTGCTGGGAAGCCAAAGACCTGACTTTTAGTTCTGGCCCAGTTTATAACTGCTGTGTGACTCTTAGACTCTTTTCTGATCTGTGAAATGGTGGTGGTCCCGAGGACTCCTTGAGTTCTTTCTAGGTTTGTTTTTAGTTTCTGGGTGACCCTCATGTCTGTTAGAAGCTATACTGGATCAGGTACCACTCCTGGGCAAGTGACTCTTCTTTCTGGACCCTCTTTTATTAGCTGGAGAATTGATTAAAGGATTCTACTGTTCTGGTTTGATTTGCTTTGGTAATACTATGCTTGATACATAGTAGGTTATCATGGAACAGTAGCACTAGTATTCTCAGTTGTGCCCCAGAGCCAGAAATATTTGTGGGATGGATTGACAAATGGCTGCTCACCCTTTACCAAGCAGAGACTATTCAGAAAATGGTTTCTGTTAATTGAGAGGACAATCCCAACTTTTCCTACTCTCTAGTTTGAAGTCATCTTTTCCCTAGAATATTTACTAGAGAAAGAACTGGCTTTAGAGGTATCTTGGGGATAAAGGGAAGGCAGAGAATGAAAAGGTGAGGAGGACCTAGTAGTTTCTAGGCCCTGTATTAACCTCAGGCTGGCTGGAGGAGAGGCAAGATTACTGTTGGGCATATGGGTTCATGCTCACTGAGGAAGCTTGGGGCTGTTGAGTACCTGGTATGAATAGTAACTCACATCAAGAGCAATTTTTGTATGTGTGTGTCTGTCTATCTAGCTCCCCCCCCCCCCAATTGGGGCCTTCCAGTAAGGGGCCCAAGCACACAGGAAGAGCTGACCACAGCAGGTTAAAAGGCCTTTCCTTATCAGCACTATGGCTACACATTTCCCCTGACTGGGCTGCCCTCAGCTTTTCTCTGTAAAACCTCAAGTCCTATGGCCTCTCCCCTGAAGTACATGGTCCCTGGTCTCTAGGCCTCCTAGAGGTTTCCCTGGTGCAGAGTACACAATACGTGTGCCAGGGAAGGGGACTTTGTCCCCAGGCTTTCTGCTGTCCCCCAGTTTCTAGCCTAGCTTATACAGGGACAGATGGTCAGCACCTTAGGCTTTGTACCAGGGCTTGCAGGCTTTAACTTCCTACCATGTATTAAATAGTGAAGGGAACATGTAATAGAGAGTTGGAAATGAGTGACTTGCACACATATATGGCACTTTGTTGTTTCCCTGACCCTACTGTGTGCCATACATTCATCTGTGTGCTTCAGGCCCTCCTGAAAATTTTGGATCATTATCCCATGAAATAGAATCAGTTGAAGGTCTGAAAAGAAGACAGAAGGTATAGCTCAGTAGTGGCGCTTTTGCGTAGCATTCAGGAGACCCTGGGTTTGATGCCCAGCACTATCAGGGATAGAAAAGGAAGTGACAGTGGTAGAGTTTGCATGGGGAGGACATTTAGGTGTTCAAAGAATACTCAGGAGGCCCTAACTCAGTGCTTCTCAACCTGTGGGTTGTGACCCCAGGGTGTTGAATGACCCTTTCATAGGGGTCACCTAAGACCACCAGAAAACACAGATATTTACAGTATAATTCATAACAGCAAAATTAGTTATGAAGTAGCAACAAAATAATTTTATGGTTGGGGGGGCGGTCACCACAACATGAGGAACTGTGTTAAAGGGTCATAGCATTAGGAAGGTTGAGAACCACTGGTTTAGCTTCTTAGTTTGTTCTTTGGCATCTCTGGACCATCGTTCTTCCAGCTAGAATTTATTCTTCCATTGTTGAGAATCTTAGGCAGGTGGTTTTCTGCCCTTTGTTTTGCCACTGACATGAGGACAACACTTTTGAACCACTATCAATTGCTTATACCCATTTCTCCCTGGCACCTCTTCCTGGAGATTTATGAGCATCAATGAACTCTTGGGTGGAGGTGGGTATCCTATGATCCACCCTGCCCCTGCTGTGCTCAGATGACCTCCTAGAAACATAAGTCTCACTCCCTTTTCCTCCATTTAGGTTTGACTCAGCAGAAACGTCTAGCCCTGGCCATGGCAGTGGTGCTGGCCTTTGGGCCAAGTAGAAGCCACATAGAGGGCATGGACTTCAGGAGAGAGTAGCTAGAGCTTTGTGTTATAGCCCAGAAATATTATCCAGACCCATGTCTCTGGTTGTTTTGGACTTAGAACATGGATCATCAGCATTGGGAAGGATGGCTGTTAGGTAAATTTTTAAGATTTTGCTTTTTATTATTGTTTATTTTTTTGGAGCAGACCTAGCCCAGTCTAGCCTGAAACTTTATTGGTTGACCAGGTGGCCTTGGGCCTTGAACTTGTGATGCTCTTTGTGTCTCAACTTCCTGTGTATTAGAATTGCAGACATATTGATGTTGTGCTTTGTTACTTAATTTTGACAGGTTTTTCTTTTTGTTTTTGTTTTTTTGAGACAGGGTTTCTCTTTGTAGCCCTGACTTTCCTGAATTTCACTCTGTAGACCAGGCTGGCCTCAGACTCAGAGATCCTCCTGACTCTAACCTCCCATGTGCTGGGATTAAAGGCATGTGCCACTGCCTCTGGGCCTTAGATTTGACAGCTTTATGTAATGAGCAACTAAGGCCTCACGATAAAGCCAGGACCCTGTCTTATGTAGGTCACTCAACCAATGTCAGAACAACAGTTTTTGAGATTATATCAAGACACAGGAGATTTCTCTGTGCTATTTCCTGTATACCTGTCTCCATTGACACCTCTCTGTTCAGCATCATTGTGTT